CCACAGGACAAGAGGGATGTGGAGCTGCTGGAGAGAGTCCAGCGCAGGGCTACAAGGATGATCAGGGGCCTGGAACATCTGCCCTATGAGGAGAGACTGAGGGAGCTGGGCCTGTTCAGCTGGAGAAGAGAAGGCTGAGAGGGGACCTGAGCAGTGTCTAGAAGTACCTCAAGGGAGGCAGTGAGGAGGATGGTGCTGGCCTCTTTTCAGTGGTGGCCACTGACAGAACTAGAGGAAACGGCCACAAACTGAAACACCAAAAGTTCCACAGGACCTTAAGGAAAAAATTCTTACCAGTGAGGGTGCCAGAGCCCTGGAACAGGCTGCCCAGAGAGGTTGTGGAGTCTCCTTCTCTGGAGATCTTCCAAACCCGCTTAGACGCAGCCCTGTGCCACGTGCTCTAGGTGACCCTGCGTGTGCAGGGGGTTGGACTAGATGACCTCTAGAGGTCCCTGCCAACCTTCAGCATTCTGTGATTCTATGATAAGGGGTAGAAACTGAGATATGTCGCCATTTCTGAGTAACATAAAAAACAAGGCTATGAGCTCCTGTCTTCTGTGAGGGTCCAACAAAAACAAACAAGAGGGCAAAAGCTGAAGAGAGAGGACAAGGAGGAAAAACATTTTAAGCCAACAGAAAGTGGTTTCCTTCTCCTGCCATAAAGAAGCTCAAAAGGACGAGCAGCTTTTTGCAAGGTCGCATCTTTTTGTTTACAACTTCCTTTTTTCCCCAATGCCAAAATCCCTTTCGGAAGGCAAAGATGGGGTAAAACACCATTTTCTTGTTCTTTATCCAGAGCATCACCCACCACACTAAGAAACCTCCTGCTCCGGACAGATGTCACACACAGATGACACAGGGCGGAGGGATGGTGGCCACCTCCTGCTTGGCAGCAGGAAGGCTGGTCCCACGGGTCTTTATATCGTTATATTTCCCTGGCGGTGACATGAACGACAAGCGACTGCAGAGGGTTATCGAGGGGCACTGGTGGGCGGCACTAGGCTCTGACCCCCGCGCGGCACTGCCAAGCGCCGCGTGTTTCCCTCACGCGGTTGCGAACGCGGATGGGGAGTCCCCGCGGGGCCGCCCCCCTCCCCGCCGGCCTC